CGAGTGGCCCCTGGCATCTGGCTCGATGAAACCTGGGAGGCAAACTTCCACCTGGGATTGACGATGTCGGCCGTTGCGCTGTACACCAGACCCAGGGTGATCACTTTCGTAAGTGCTGTCTCATGGATCATACATGTCACGAGCACGGTACAAGCCAGCTGCAATTCGGCGAGAAGCTTCGCGAAGGTCGTGTTGTGCAGAATGCTTCTCGCGCTGTCTTTTGGGTTCACCTCGCTGTGCGTGCGAAGTGTTGTTGGTGATGTCTCCCTCCAGTTGCTGGGCGCGTCGAAGTTCATAGGTGGGGACTTTTTTTTGGGGGGGGGGGGGGCGGGGGTCCTATTGAAGAATGGGGTTGGACGAGCTTTGGCTCGTGGTCTCGAGTAAGAAAATAAACTTCTTGGGCCCCAACAGCGAGGTCGCTGAGGGGCTGGCGAAAGCCTGGAGAGACTTAGGGCTCAATGGCAAAACTGTTCTACGATCCTTGGGATGAGATGCTGTATCCATGGGCATCAGGAGAACCCCCACGGAGCTCAAGAGGCTGAGGAAAGCTGCTCGAAGGAGTAAGAAGCTCTGTAAACTGCAGTTTGCAGGCGCGGAGGTCAGTAGTGTATATAGGGCTGGGCCTCAGGCGGGAGCTCTCTGGGGCGCGGCGGTATCGGGGCTCACAGCGCAGCAGATCCAGGGACGAAGAGCCTCGGCTTGCAGGAGTCTAACAAACTTGAAATCTGGGGGCAGGAGGATTCACCCGTGCGTGCAATACACTCCAGAGTAATGGTTCAGTGGGCCAGGGCGACGCGGGATGGCACGCCGAGCTTCGAGATCATGCTGTCGGTCATGCCAGCTGCGATCGACGAGCTCAGGAGTTGCCGTTCCCCGTGCTTGGCGGCGACTTCCAGCGCATGTCTTCCCCTTCACGCTCGGAGCGATGGGATGGGCGCCGATCTCTGCGCGGAGTTTCATGCAGGCGGATGGGGAGGAAGTGGATCTCTTGTCTCTGGCGCCGCTCGTGGCTCCCGACATGGGAAGAATGACGCGGGGCTCGGGGCCGACACTAACGCGCTCAAAATGCATAGCAGGCTCAACCACGTTTGGTGCAGGCCTCTGTTTTGGGAGGGTGTTTCCAGAATGATGAATGGGCCGAAACGCGAAACCTAGCATGATCACCATCAAACGTGTGTTCGGAATGCTCTCTCCCTGGGGACCTGGACTCAACTGCGTCTTTGCGACCGTGGGCTTTCGAGTGACTCTGGGTGTCAGCTGTGTTTAGGAGCTGCAAGACCGCTGTGCCACAGGAGGTTCGAGTGCCGCGCCTTCGACTGCTACTAGAAAGACTTTTTGGATGTGAAGGCCCAGGACGCGGCCAGGAGGATCAGGGACCTTTGTCAAGACGAGGAGAAATTTGCCATGGGGATCTTGTCAGAGCCCCGCGAGGTAACCCCCGAACCTCTGGAAATTCTGAGTCTGCAACTTCCTAGTTTAATAAGCCGGCCACTGGTGAGCTCTCATGACTTCTTTTCACGGACGGATCGGCTCTCGACCCCACTTCGGACAGATTTCGTAGAGCTGACTGCTCGATCTGCATGGTTACTGAGCGGGGGGAGCTTCTCTCCGCGGCGCTTGGACCAGTGCCACTAGAATTTGCCCCCTGCTGCAAGCTAGAGACGGGGACGACTACGCATATCATACGCTCACGTTCTTGGCAGACGCGAATTCGAGACCTTCTACCGGCTGCTCGGGAACCCTGGGATGTGTCGGGGATCCGATTGGTTCGATCGGCTTCAGAAATCCCAGGGCCCACATCTGGGCTAGGTTCTGGCATGTTTTTGACGATGGGGTCCCTGCGAGAAAAGGCACAACGACGTGCCACGCTCTCGGATGTCTTAGAAGGCAGATCAGCACACATGGTGCGTGCTGGCAACAGGCATGCGGATCCGTTTGCGAAGTTGGGTGCGGCCAAGCACCCCCGCACAGAGCAAACACAAGCTCTGATCAGTGAGTTTCAAAAACGTCGGGTCGATCTGCTGAGATGGGCTGGCTTCGAGAATGTTTTGATGAGCTCGATGGGTTGGCCTGATTCGCTTGGGTGTCTCGAGAAAGGCGAGCACCAGAACCGAGAAGGCCAGGCTAGGAGTAATGAAACCACATTTCGCCGATGGCTAGTCAGGTATTGCAGGGAAGATCGACTGCTCCAAGAAAAGCTTGGTTCCCGTCGAATGTTCGCTCAGTTAGCTGTCCCGATGTTTCAGGGGTCCCTCCTTGATGAGGGCGAGAATGAGCATGTGCTCAAGGAGAGCCATGCTTTAATGGCCCTTCAGGGCCACAGTTTAAGGATGTACAAGGTCTGGGACGGGGGTGGAGCTCGGGTGGCGGGGGCTGGGTGGGTGATGAATTGCATTCAGTGCGGAGGATATGCTTGGGCAGGTTTGCGTCGTTGTGTAGACCCTTCCCGAGTGTGCCGCCCTCCAAGGTCCTTAGGCGCCAGAATGGGCGACCTCTTCAAGGCCTCTTCCCTGGCGGGGCCCAGCAGTATAAAAGGCTGGACCGTCAGCCATCAGAGAGAGAGAGAGAGAGAGGGAGAGAGAGATAGAGAGAGAACCTGATCCGCGCGACCTCCTGGCTCTGAGAAGGGCTGCCAGGAAGGGAGCGGCGATTCACGAGGATGAATTACCACTTGAGCCCTCTGTCAACGACACGACTTGGGGAGAGAGCTGGACGCTGCCAGCCGTTTGCGCAAGATTTGGCACAGTTGTGCCCGCAAACTTCGAAGACCCTCCAAGGAGGGCGGCGGAGGCCTAGCCGTGTTCTGTTGCTCGTGGCGCCTGGCACAGACGGACGCTTCCAACGAGAATCGAACATAATAATAGGAGGAGGCGGAGGCGGAGGCGGAGGAGGAGGAGGAGGAGGCGGAGGAGGAGGAGGAGGAGGAGGATCGAGGAGGAGGAGCGAGGAGGAGGAGGAGGAGGAGGAGGAGGAGGAGGAGACTGACTGACTGACTACGACGAGGAGGAGGAGCGAGGAGGAGCGAGGAGGAGGAGGATCGAGGAGGAGGAGGATCGAGGGTCGAGGGAGGATCGAGGATCGAGGAGGGCCCGCGGCTCGGGAAAGTGCTGACCGCCTCGGAGGCCGCCTCGGGGCGCCGAGGCCCCACACGCCTGCGGGAGGCGCGGCGAGCACCCCGGGCAGGAGATCGGCCCGCCTTGGCAGGCGCCCCGCGGAAGCCCTCGACGCTTCGCGTATCCAGATCTCGCGCCGGTCGCCGCGCCTTGGCGTCCCCACCCGCTGGGATGTCTGTGCCGGTCACCTGCCGACGCCGCTGGCGTCTCAATGAGGGTCATTTTGTCCCTGGCATGTGCATACGCCACTGCGGCCAATTATCTTCGTTCCGCGCCCCGGACCTTGACCCGCTTCTTGACCTTCGTCCTGGAGCCGCCGACCAAAAAGCGTATCCAGATCTCGCGTGTAGCTCCTTGGTTCAATTTGTGCATCGGCACTGCCCCTGGATCCTGGTCCTGGTTGCAGTTTGCATCGCCCGTCGGCAAGGTTTCGGGCCCTGCCCCGCTTCCTGGCACCACCTCGCGCAGCCCGGCAGCGTAGGCAGCTTAGGTTCGGCCGTCGGTCCCCGTGCGCTGGGCAATTAGGTTCGCGCGTTATCCGCCCGACCTCTGACGCTGCTGGCGCGCTCGCCTGCGGCCGCGATGGAAACAAGTATCCAGATCTCGTCCCTGGCGTGCTCGGCGTTCGACTCGCTTCGCGCGCCCGCGTGCCAAAAGGCATCTAGAGTTCGTAATCAGATGGAGGGGGTCACAGCCCTCCCGGACGAGCAGCTTTGGACCCCCTTCCCCCCAGATCGGCCATGAAAGGGCGGCCTTTCTGCCCAGAGCCCACTGGAACCCTCCAAGGCAGCTCGAATCAGATCTCCCTCCCAAATCAGACCGCCACCCTTCTATTTTGAAATCTGGAGTATCCAGGGCAGCCCGTCCAATCCCGATGCTCTGCTACACGCCTAGGGACCACACGGGCCATATGGGGGCCTAGGGGCATAGGCAAATTCCTGGGCAAGAGTTGCCGTCGTTGCGCGACTATCGGGGGGCGTGGGGGGACCAAATCCGAGCGCGCAAGCCGCTGTCATCGCGTCGCAGTCAACCACCTGGGGACCTGGTGTGCTCGTACCAAAGGTCGCACTGGCGAAAAATCACTCTCGCAGGTGGTCCACGATGCGCAGGAGAGTTGCCCGGAGAAGGGGCGGAGGCAGGCATAAAGTGAAACAGGGGGGCCAACAATAGTGAAAGTAGCCCTCGGAGAGCTCTCGTGGGGCCATCTAGGAGATAGTCAATCAAAATAAGGGGATCGTATATGTCAATCTCCCCGTCGGGCCCGAAACATTACCTCTCGGGGCCCTCTTGGGGCGCTCTTGGGGCGCTCTGGGGCGTTCTTTGGGCGCTCTTTGGCGCACTTGGACCCCTATTGGGCCCCTCTTGGGGCTCCCTTAGGCCATCTTGGAGTCAACTAGAAGCCTCACGAGCCCATCGGAAGCGACCAGGCAAGAAGACAAGCCACATGCGTGTTCCTGGAGTTTTGGAAGAAATTTGGCCTCCCATGGGGGTCCTCCAGGGCTGTGTGGCCACCTGGAGCCATCTTGGGGCGGTCGTGGCGCCTCTTGGAGGCATGTTGGAAACTATATTGAGCCATATCCTGCCATCTTGTGCGCTGTCTGGGGCCATCTTGATGATACGTTAAACCACCTACGCCTAATGGGCTGGCGGGATTTCGTATCCCCCGATCGCCCCAGGGACCCACAGAAGCTCTGCGGCACCTCAGGACCGTCAAAGAGCGACGAAGAGAGATTTCTCATCGCATGGGTCCACATTCTGTGACGTCGGTGCCCGAATCGAAGATGGGACCTCTTCTCCTCGGCTCCTCCGAACGGCAAGAGCGTTCCAAGACCTCTTCTGGGCTGCTCCTCCCCCTCTCCGCGCCGTTTGGCAGGACCCCGGGGGGACCAGCAGGCGCACCCGACGGACATCATGACGCCGAGGACGACGATCACGCCCATTCCTTTCTGGTTGGAGTCCAGCGTGCCTGTGGCTGCACGGGGCGAAGAGGAGGAATGACACTCGGGATGCGCCCAAGGGGCGTCCAGGGGGGGGCCCTAGAGGCTTCTTAGAAGGCCCAGGAGCTTCCGAGAGGCCCCCACGAGAAGGCCTGGGGGGCATCCGAAAGACGCCCAAGACGGTATGAGAGGCCCCTGAGATGCCAGGAGGCACCCGGGAAGCTGCCAGGGTGCTCCCGGGAGGCGATGCCGATGCTACCTGAATCTCCGAAGAGGAGGCCACATTTCCGCTAAGCTCTCAGTGCTGCTCTGTAGAGGCAGCCTCAGGGAGTGTCACCGAGCGGGTGGCGAGGATCCCTGGGGCTGCGACCCTCGGAGTGCTCTCACTGGAAGAAGCGCCGCGCCGCTCTCATCATGGCGCGGGTTCGGTGGGTTCGTGCCGCTTCGGCCCGCGCAAAGTTTTTTGTCACCGCGTCGATCCTTCAACCTTGAATCGATCGCGGCGCCGATCGTTCAAATTGAATCTCGTCGGGTCCAATGGCGTCACCGTGTCTCTGGTGCGTCCCCATCGCAGAATTCAACCTTTAACGCCTTCGTCGGAGTCGCTGGCGCGCCAACGTCGCATGAAACTACCATTCTCTTGCCGCCCTTCCCGCTCTTCTTCCTCTTGCCTCTCACCACTTTACAATCAACCCGTATACTTCGAAAGAGGCGCGGCACGGATGCAAGGGCCCTGGAGGGCCATGTTGACGTTTTTCCAACGGGGCTGGCCAGCGAAAGCCGCAAAGGATGGGCCGAAGGGGCAAGAATAAGGATGCAAGGGTAGCCTTGGAAAGCTGCTCATCCCTACTATGCGTGCTGACTCTACCCGGTCGCAGCAGGCACCATCACACCACTTGGCGGTGCGCACACGGGGGTGGAGGGAGGGGCGACGGCCTCTTAGAAGGAGGCTGCTTCTAAGAAACCCTCCCGCCTCCACCCACCCCCCTCTGCGCGTGGCTGAAGGACTGAGACGAAGCCAGGACGAAGACAACATTGGGTGAAGATAAATCGAGACTCTCTGAGATCCGCTGGCTCTTGAGGATGTCTCGGGCGCTGCGGCCTGCTCAGAGCCTTCCGGAACGCTCTGAGAGCGTTCCGGAACGCTCTGGAACGTATTTGAGCCCCGCTCGAAGAACAGACCAGGTGAGAGGAGCAGGAGCCATCTATGCGTCTACAAGTCTGTCGCCCGACGACTGCGGACAGGTGGCATCCCGTCGCGGCGCGGCGGAAGCAACCCGCTCGCGCGCTCTAGGAGCTTTGTGGATGCCACGGCAATGGACACCCTAACAGTCCTACCATTGAACTGAAACTGTGTTTCAAATGTCGGAACATGTTCTAAACATGTCTTACACATGCTCTTTTTTACATGTTTGCAACAGTTTAACACATGCTTCAGGCATCTGGAAATCATCTGGCATCGTGCTTCCTCTCCAATGATCGTCCTCCACACTAGCAGCTGGGGCGAATCGTTATACCTGCCTGGCAGCACGAGAGACAGGACAGAGGGCGGCCGCGGAGCAAGGGCGAAAGGGGGGGAGGGCACCAGGCCACGCAAGCGCAGACAAGACAATCAGCAACTACCATTAAGTCGGGCGTGCCCCCCTACCAAAGGGATTTTGGGCAAAAATGGAAAATACTCAGAACATACCGCCCAAAGGGGCAAAGTAGTCCAAAAATCGTCCCCACACTATGTTTTGACTATTTTTGAGTCCTCCTCCTGTAGAAAGACATGCCCGACTTAAAACTACCACCAAGCGCAGACAGACCTCAACGCGGCGATCCTCCCGGGAAGCACCCGACATGCTCCCAAGAGGCTGACTGGACGCTCCCTAGGGAGGCTCCCGAGAGGAGGTAATGTCTTAGACATGGCCACCAGACTGCACAAGAGGCCTCTGCAGACATGGCCAAGGAAGGTCCCACCCAAGAAGGGCTCCTGTTTTGCGCGCGCCTCCCGATCATGTTTATCTCGCTCTTTTTTATCACAGTGCGACGGCATCCGAAACCTCCAAATAACAGCCTCCAAGAGGGACACATGTATGGGCTCTAGACGGTCCAGAACCATCGGGGCAGATGCCAATACGGCCTCAGTCGCGTCCAGTAGAGTCCCTAAGACGGTCTAGGATGCCACTGAGATGTCAGGAAACCTCCAGGACATCCCCACGAGGCGCTCAGGAGGGGACCAACACCCCACAGTGGCACAAGGAGCCGCTGCTTCTCATCCTCCTCCGCTCGCAACGTCTGCCGCCACACAGACTGCGGGCACACCAGGCGGTACGAGGCAGCAGACAGTGCTGGTGCACGAGAGGGGGGAGGTGGAGAACGGCGGGGCCAGAGGTAGGAGTACTAGATGATGAAGACTTTACTGCGGGGGTGGCGGAGGCCGACGGGGAGTACCAGAACGACTAAGCGCAGACGGAGAAAGAACATCCAGATTCACCTGGGTAGCCGCACTTCTTCAGATTGCCGAGTGTGCGCGCCGAGATGTCCGCAGTGTGAAGTGCTCGAATCGCGAATCAACCAATGTCAACAAGACCATACCGGCAAACACTGAAACATGGCACTGTGCTCGACCATGCTGGACATGCTGGAGCCGACCGCGCTCAGATGACACCAGGCCGCACCGAGCAAAGCCATTGACCGTTAGACCACTCAAAGAGCGAGCGAGATGGTGGTCTGCGATTGCTGTGGCAGATGCACTTCAAGCCTGTGTTGCTGCTTAGTCTCACCAGCCCTCCGACTTAGGCGGTCCAGCGAATCATTCCAACATCCCTTTCCCCCTTCGGCGAAAAGTTTCTCACTGCTCCCTGTTAAGAAACGCCCGCTCCCCCAAGCGACCAGCAGCCAACCAAGACCCTCTAGGGCCCCCCCGCACCATCCCTGGTAATACAATTCAAGCTGCACTTTGCCTTCACATCTGGAGCATACGCGGGCGCCCCGCGACCACTTTGCGCTGGTTTTTGACAGGGATGGCCGGGGTGCTAGCAGATTGCTTGCTGCGCGCAGGCCAACCATCTCTGTCAAAAACAACCCAACATAGGTTTTGCCTCCGAATCTGCATCACGCGCAGGCGCCCCGCGACCACTTTGCATCAGTTTTTGAAAGGGGTGGCGGGGGTGCATGAACCTTTTCTCATGCCTTTTGACTGGGATGGTTCTCCAGCTGCGCGTTGCTGGCGACATCCTCTTTGTACTCTTCCAAGGGGGTGCTCTTTTCTCTGAGATCTCATGTGTTTCGCGACTCCTCAGCATGTCTAACTTTGACCATTGGTGCTGCTGCTTTGCGCTCCCGGGAGCCGCCCTTCTCACAGAATGCTCGGCACTTCGCCTTAGGGAAACTCAATAGTGTGAACTCTGTGGGGGCGGGGCCCCAGGCACCTGGGGTCCCTATTGGTTCCCCGTAGCTGGCGCACCTGGCGCGGCTGGAACACGTGGCGCAGTTGGCGCATGTGGAGCAGGTGCCGCACCTTGCGCGCCTAGCACGCTTCGGCCTCCAAGGTGCCTGGTGCACCTGGAACCCGTGGCGCGCATGGCATGTGTGGCGCTCCTCAGCGATATGCTGACACTCGGATGTTACTTCCGTGTTGGGAGGGCGGGTGGGAGTGAGTTAGACGGCTTGCTAACTAGGATGATAGCTTGATGTCTTCCCCCTACCCCCTCTCCCTCGGTCTGGAGGCGGGGCCACGCCGCGTTAGCGCGTCCAAGATGTCCTCAGCTGGCTCCAAGATGGTCCCATATGGCCTCCAATATCAAGATGGCACAATATAGCCATACATTGTTCAATGTAACCTGTCACGTGCCTCCAAGAGGCTCCAAGACCGCCTCAAGGCGGCTCCAAGTTGCCATGGGGCTTTCCAAGGACGTCCCCGAGAGGCCAACATCTTTCTCAAACCGAAAGAGAACACTTGTTTCTAGCCGTATCGCCTTTTCGCTTCCGACAAGCATCTGGAGCGTCAAGATGGCTCCAATACGGCCCAAGATAGACTCATGAGGGGCCCAAGCGGGTCCCAAGACAGCCCCAAGAACGCCCAAAATCGACCCAATAACAACAAGAGGGCCCCACGAGACGACGTTTCCGGCTCCGACGGCGGGTCCGTAGTCCGCGATGCCTTCTCATTTGATCGATGGTCGCCAAGATGCCTCACAGAGCCCCCAATAGGCCCCCAAGGAGGCTCCAAATGCATCCAAAATGGCCTCACGAGGGCCCCAAGATGGCCCATGTAAGCTGCCACGACGCTCCCATAACTGCAGGTCCGCGAAGGCATGTATGGTTGACTCATGGGCCTACCCATGCTGATCCCGATCTTCGGTCTGACGGCCGCCACTCTCTTTGTTCCGCTGCTTACGCCAACACTGCACTGATCAAGGCAAGTCATGTGGGCATCGTTTCTGGAACAGCTGGTAAGGAGATGCGACGTGTGAAGAAGTTACATTACTACCGAGTAGTGGCGTAAACCCAACGCGAACTTCACCTTTCATGGTAGTTCGTTTCAGCACCCTGAGAGTGAGACTCTTGGGAAACCCCCTTGTCGTCACGGGTTGGAGAGCCAATCGGCCGTCCCATACCGTTCTCCGACGGAGACGCCATCGGGAATCGTCTGGATGCTTAGCAGCCATCGCTGTCCGGGTGGTGGCTTTCTGGGTGCCACCTGGAGCCCCTCAAGGAGGGGGCACGGGGCTGCTCGCCAGGAGCGCCTGGAGACTCCTGAGAGTTCCTGGAGCCCCCCATGAGGCGATGCGCTGTTTGTGCTCCCATCTCACGCTGGGGAATGGCATCACGTGGTGTTCACGGTCGCTCGTGAACTCCGTCCTCGCACGCAGTGTGCGGCGCACGGTGTGCACCGAACGCGATGGTGCCGCGTCCGTCGACCAAAAGAGGACGCCACTGGGTGGCAACCTTCCTTTCCACATGAACGACGGAAAGAAACGTGTCCCCCGCGAGAAGAAACAGGAGGAGGAGGAGGAGGAGGAGGAGGAGGAGGAGGAGGAGGAGGAGGAGGAGGAGGAGGAGGAGGAGGAGGAGGAGGAGGAGGAGGAGGAGGAGGAGGAGGAGGAGGAGGAGGAGGAGGAGGAGGAGGAGGAGGAGGAGAGCAGCTCTACGCCGCGGCTTACGCGGGCCGCCAGCACGGCGAGCCGCGCGGAGAAGCAGGCGCCCCACGCGCGACCCCCCGCGGGAACCTTGCGCGCGGACGTCCGCGCCGTCGACCCCGCTTCCTCCCGCCGGCCACGGGAGGGCCAGGAAGGCATACGAGCGCACTGTGTGTGTGTGTGTGTGTGTGCGTGTGTGTGTGTGTGTGTGCGTGTGTGTGTGTGTGTGCGTGTGTGTGTGTCGCTCGTACTCAAGGAGTCTTGAACGCTCTACGGGGCGGCAGGGGCGATAGCCTCAGCCTTGGACGCCGTAGTCGTCGCAGAAGCCGTAGCGCTGCGTGTGTGTGCGTGCGTGTGCGTGTGCGTGTGTGTGTGTGTGTGTGTGTGTGTGTGTGCGTGTGCGTGTGCGTGTGCGTGTGCGTGTGCGTGTGCGTGTGCGTGCGTGTGCGTGTGTGTGTGTGTGTGTGTGTGTGTGTGTGCGCGGGGCCCTGCCCGCCGCCGCCGCCGCCCGTTTGGCGCAACTGCCCGCTGCTCCCCGCCACTGATCGCTGCCCGCCGCTCCCCGCCACCGCCCCGTGAGAGGCCGGCGCCCCCACCCCTTTCCACCTTCTGGCTCCCCGGGGCGCCCCTGGGTGCCTCATGTAGCCCGGCGTTCGTCCGCTACGCTGGGGGCATGCGACTCTGCACGGCTGAGTGGCTCGTCGCCCGCCCACGTGCGCCCAGAAAAGTGTGTCCCTGTGCGTGTGTGTGTGTGTGTGTGTGTGTGTGTGTGTGTGTGTGCGTGTGCGTGTGCGTGTGCGTGTGCGTGTGCGTGTGCGTGTGCGTGCGTGTGTGTGTGTGTGTGTGTGTGTGTGTGTGTGTGTGTGTGCGTGTGTGTGTGTGTGTGTGTGTGCTCCGTTTTCTTTTGGCCGCTGCATGTTGGGTTTGCAGCGCCTCTCGTTTTTTGTTTGTTGCCACACCCCTTTCTGCATGGCCATGGCTGGGCTGTTCCATCATGGCGCGTTCGATCAAGCCCGTCCGCAATTGGCACCTCCACCTGCCGACCGCGCCTGAGGTTCCTCTGCACCGCCGACTCAAAAGTGTGTGTGTGTGTGCGTATTTGTGTGTGTGTGTGCGTGTGTGCGTGTGCGTGTGTGTGTGTGTGTGTGTGTGTGTGTGTGTGTGTGTGTGTGTGTGTGTGTGTGTGTGTGTGTGCGTGCGTGTGTGCGTGTGTACGTGTGTGTGCGTGTGTGTGCGCGTATGTGTGTGTGTGTGCGCGTGTACTCAAACTGAACGCAAGGACAATGCACCGCATGCTGCCCACGCCCTGGGAGGTGGAGAGCACGTGCTGTGCGCCAGAACATGGCGAGCGGGGTTTGCACTGTGCGTGCCGTGCTCACATTTCGCTCTGGGGCCCGCGGCACGGTCGCTTCCTCCGTGCGGGCCCTTTTTCCATGCGTGAAATTCTAAGCCAGATTGATTCGTGAGGGCCCTGGGCTGAGTGGGCCTTGGAGATTACAGAGCATTTGTTTCCGCGGGCTCCGTGTTTGAATTGTTTTGGTTCCAGCGCCGTTGTTTGTTTTCAGTGCTGGTTCCAATTCAAATTCTAACGCTCTTTGTGTTATGTTTCGGAGATCTCTTGTTTGAACCAATTTTCACAACCAGCCGCATTTTTTTAGGAAACGGTGCGAAAACGGCCTGCCGCTTCCGCGGCCCACTGAGGACCTGGGGACCGAAAGAGGACAGGAATCCCAGCCTAACATTTTTTCCTCACGACGCCCGAATGCAAAGAGCTCTTGTGATCTTTTCCCATGCGAGAGCGCTTTTCCCTCGGCGGAGGGCCTGGGCTCGGAGCTGGGCTCGAAGCTGGGCTCGTAGCCGGGCTCGTTCCCTCGAGGGCTGTCTCCCCCGGCGAGTCGGACGCATCTCCCTGCTGGCAGAGCTTCCACCTGGAGTGAGAGGAGGGCGACAGGGGAGGATTGGGAGAGAAGGGAAAGAGGAATGGGGGAGCAGGAAGGGGAGCAGGAGGGGGCAAGAGAAAGATGATGACGATGATGCTGATGCTGCTAATGATGATGAGGAGGCGGAGGAGGAGGCGCAAGAGGATGAGGAGGATGAGGAGGCGGAGGAGGAGGCGCAAGAGGAGGAGGAGGAGGAGGAGGAGGAGGAGGAGGAGGAGGAGGAAGAGGAAAATGAGGAGGAGGGGGAGGACGAGGAGGATCACGAGGTGGAAGAGGAGGAACACGCGGAAGACAAAAAAAGGAATGGAGGCGGAGGAGGCGGATTATGAGGAGGAGTATGAGGAGGAAACGGAGGAGGAGGAATATGGAGAGGAGGAGGAGGATGAGGAGGAGGACGAGGGCGGGGAGTAGGAAGCGGAGGAGGAGGACGTTTACGAGGAGCAGGAGTAGGAGTAGGCGTAGGAGGAGGAGGAGGAGGAGGAGGAGGACGAGGAGGAGGACGAGGAGGAGGAGGAGGACTCAAGACTCAAGACTCAAGACGTGGCGAGGCCCGCACGTGGGGCCAAGTCCCAGAAGAGAAGACGACACGACGACAACACGACGGACGACACAAAGGCCGCGGCAGCGGCGGCGGGGCGGGCCAGCGCTTGCCACTCAGCGGAAAGGCCTCGAACAGCCCTTGTCCTTGTCCTTGCTCTTGCCTGCGTGCCCGGAGCTTACCGAACGAGAGGCGCGACGTTCAGCCTCAAAGGCGAGGCGGCGAGCGACTCGGGGATCCTGGACCACAGGGTCAGCATGGCTGCTCGTGTCCTTGGCCTTGCCCTTGCCCATGCCCTGGCAAAGACGTGCGGGATCGGGATGAGGAGCAGCAGCAGGACGGGCTTCCGGACGGGGGTCCGGAGGACCAGCAGGTCCCGCAGCATCATGGCGATCACCTTCAGAATCACCTCGACGATGATGCCCTTGTTCAGGATCACTGCCATCACCTTGGTCGCGACCAGCTTCAAGGCGATCTTCAGCCGGAGCACCCTCAAGATGAGGTGCAGCTGGAAGGACTTCGACCGGAAGTGGGGCGACAGCGGGCCCACGATCTTCGGGGGCAGCCGAAGGGACGGCAGCAGCAGCACAACGCACGCCTCCCAGAGGGCCACCGCCTGTGCTGAGCGCAGCCTGCAACGCGGTCCCCAGACGCGTGGCGCAGCAGCCTCGATGCTGCAAGGTATCGAAGGCTTTGAGGAGGCACTGCACGGCGCGTGCCTGCGCACGAGCCGCCTGGGCGCGCCGCTCCGCCGCGGACCGGCGAGGGCGGGCCCCATGCTGGAGGCGAGGAGAGGGAGAGCAGCGGCAGGGGGCCTCCTGGCGCGAGCTCGCACCACCCGGGCGGGTGCGACGGAGCCAGCGCTAGGAGGAGGAGGAGGAGGAGGAGGAGGAGGAGGAGGAGGAGGAGGAGGAGGAGGAGGAGGAGGAGGAGGAGGAGGAGAGCAAGAGGAGGAGGAGGAGGAGGAGAGGAGGAGGAGGAGGAGGAGGAGGAGGAGGAGGAGGAGGAGGAGGAGGAGGAGGAGGAGGAGGAGGAGGAGGAGAATGAGGAGGAACAGGAGGAGGAGCAGGGGGGAGCAGGAGGATGGTGATGCTGATGATGATGACATCCACGATGCAGCCCGATACAACTGTGGGTTGGCGACTCCCACAGAGGGCACTCCTTGGTGCAGAAGGCCCACTGAACCAGGAGGTATATACTGGCCAGAAGGACCTGCGAATGAAAAGGATTGATCACAGGAAGCGGCCTAGAAAACCAATGGGCGAGCTCCCAACGGCGGGAGGATCCTCTTCGGCTAATAAGCTGCAGCCCGATTCCAATCCGACCCCGACTCAAACCCTTTGAAATCACCTGGCCCGCCCGAGGCCATCTCCACCAGGCGGTGCGGCATCGAAGCACGCCTCAAGGCGGACACAGGGTCGGGTTCGGGGCCATTCGCACACGCTTCCCAACTCGCCTTGAGGTCGAAGCCAGGTGCGAACGAAAGGATAATTGGGGATTCAAAAATCCGCAGATCTTTGTCGTTCCGCGGGTAACGTCCTAACATTCGGTTATTGAAAGTAGTGCGGCTGTGTCTGCTGAGCAGCCCAAGGCATCTGCTGGCAAATCCACTGTGCGACAAGGCACCCGTGCGCAGGAAAGCTCCACAGCACAGGCACAAGAAACAATGCGAACCATCGAACACATGAAACAAAACTGGCTTGTGGGCATTCCGCTCCGCCTCGTCCATGTCCAACTGTGACGGGCCGAAGCATTTCCCAAGGTCAGTCTTAGAAATCGACCTGGCGCCCTTTCGACAAACCGTGCATCGCCAACAACCACTAAAGAACTGCCAGTCGTGTTGGGCGAAACCTGCAGCGGGCTGAGACGCGCGATCTGGGGCCGAGAACTCGACGCCTTCGAGTCGGAGTCTCGGCCATTGACGTAACAGATTGGCGGCGAGAATACACACTGCGCGAGCAACTACTCTGCTACTGGCCGCCTTTGCTGCATCATCATCGGGTGGTCTCGGGTGGACATTGACCCCTGCTTTAGCAACGGTGTCCGCATGGCCGTTGCCCGCCCTTCGGAAGCGCTCATCCTGCTCAAGGTCTGGCTCTTCGGGATCCAGGTGTGCTCTGACCTTGGCCAGGGACTTTACATGCTTGCGATGGTTACTATAAAGGAACTGGCCCGCACATTTCTTCTTGAAGGACAATCTAAGCGAGGGTGGTCGTCTGTAGTGGCTGACTACCGCCTGGCAATCCGAAACAAACTTCAATGGGGCTCCCCAACTGCAAAGACGCCTGCGTTATCGTTGCAAGCTCAGCGGCGGGAGCAGTCCGCAACATCGGAGAACACGCGGGCCCACCAGCATAATGAATACCTACGCAGATCCTATTGAAACCTCACCCTCTCTGGGGGGGGGCTGCGATCTGCGAAACTGCCACCACTTTCAAGGGCTGGTGGGGGTCCAGCGGAGTGACGCCCCACGGCGGGCGGGTCCAGCTTAGGACCTCGCCGTCCCTGGGGGGCAGCGATTGCAAAACCGCCCGCCACTCTCATGGGCGGCTGGGGGGTCCAGCGGGATGACGTCGTACGCGTCTCCAGATTCGTTCAAGTTATACCTCGCCGTTCCTGGTTGCGGGGAGGGGGGTGCTGCGATCCGCGAAACGGTCGCCACTTCCGGTGTTTGCTGGGGGAGTCCAGCGGAATGACGTCCCACTCGTGCTCAGATTCGCCTTGCTTTCTTTTTCCGCAGGCCGCCCGAAGACCTCGCGGCGCGCCTGCGGGCGTTCAGCCCTTTGGCACTGCAACGTGCAGGAAGGAAGCTCGGCCTTACTTGCTTCTTGCACTAGCTATGAACAGCTGACCATTTGGATCGCCAGGGCGACATGGCGCAAGCCGCGCTGCTTGTCCAGCGTGCCAATGTAAAATGATTGCCAACCTCCTTCGTCATCCTGCCACTTTCATTGCTGTCCTCTTCATCCTTCCGCCGTGTCATTGCCGCTGTCGCGTTAACGTTTCGGCCCTCCTCCGTCCTTTTCCAGCCCCTCGTTCCCACCACCATTTCCTCTTCGACCCTGTGGCCTCAGTCCTCGTCCTTCTGTTGCTGTCCTGTGAGTCGTGCAACGCGCGCGTGTCCCGTATGTGTCCCTTGCGCAACCAATGACATCTCGTGCTCCCGTCAGCAATGCTGATCTGGACCCCCCTTGCCGCTTAATCCAGATGGGTTGGGTACGTTGCAGGGAACATATATGAGTATTCTTGTCAGCAATGTGAAATCCATGACTGTCAGTGTTCGCATCATTAACACCATCATCGCCATCATCATCATCATCATCACCGTCACCATCACGACCACCACCACCACCACCACCACCACCACCATCATCATCATCATCATCATCATCATCATCATCATCATCATCATCATCATCATCATCATCATCATCATCATCATCATCATCATCATCATCATCATCATCATCATCATCATCATCATCATCATCATCATCATCATCATGTTTTACTGTTCGAATTAAGCGTGCGTGTATGCATAGCCAGGCGTGTCTATGCTTCGGATGTACGACTGCATACATGCATGCAGATATGCGTACACGTGAAGCCATATGTGGGTAGGCGTGTAATACCAGAGGGCATGAAGAAGATTATGATGATGAGGCGGGTAGACCCGACAGGTCCCCCATTCAGGTTCTCAGAAAACAAAACGCCGAGGAGGAGGCCGAGGAGGAGGAGAGGTACAGGGAGGAGGAGAAATCAACAAAGAGAAGGAAGGTAATAACACGCAATGGTGATGCTGTTGCTGATGATGATGGTGATGGTGGTGGTGATGATAATGCTGATGACGCTATGCTGATGATGATGATGCTGATGATGAGGAGGGGAAGCAGGAGGAGGAGGAGGAGGAGGAGGAGGAGGAGGAGGAGGAGTGCTTCATCTGCCCTTCCCACCCCGAGGCGACGTAGTCCTCGTCACTCGACCAGACGATGGCTCCCAGCGGAAGGACCCCATTCGGGCCCAGCGTACCGCTGTAGGACTTGCCGTTGATCTCCAGCAAGTCGTAGCCCCACTCCTCCGAAGGTGAACTGGGACGATAAAACGAGATGAGGAAGAGAAGGAGGAAACTGGTGACAGCGAGTGGAAAGAAGACGAAGCGGATGATGGTGGAAAACAAGGAGAAATCGGAGAGCGAGCCTCCTCCGACTCCTCTCCTCCTCACTCCTAAGATTCGTCCCCATACTCATGCAACTGCTGCTGCTGCTCCTCCCTCTTCCTGTCCCCCCCGTCCTCATCCATGTGCTCCCCATCCCCTTTGTCGTCGTCATTCTCCTCCCTCTCTCTCCTCCCTGTCCTTCTCCTCTTCTTCCTGCTCCCTCTTCCGTCCTCTCGTCTTGAGACCTCTCCTCCTCCATCGCCAGATCCTCCTCCTCCTGCTCCTGCTGCACTGCTCCTCTTCTTGCGATCCCGACCCCCTCGCCATAGCTGGGGCTAGGTCAGGTGCGGGGCTCTCACGGCGCGCAACTTGGCCCGTGCTCCCGCCTTCGGCTGACAGCCTGGTGTCCTCCGCCATCTTTCCCCCCATTCCTCTGAGAGGGGTACCGGCGACCCCGTGCCCCTCGCGAACGCGGAGCGGAGTGCTGGGCTGCTCAGCCGAATGCAGTGGGCACATACATTTTTGCACCAGGGATATCCGCAGGATGTCTCACTCAAGACTGTCTTTTTGATTATCGAAATCTGTCGTAACATTCAGCGCTCTCGCGCTGGTTTAGAAAGGCTGGGGAAGCACAGCCGCATCCACTATGTAATGTTGCGCCTAGCTGCTGAACCTCCCCACCACCCTGCCGTCTCGAAAGGCGGGGGCCTTAGAGAGGATCTGAGTGTGGTCTGCACGCCGAGCCTTGGCGCACTCGGGGCGCACTGATTGTATGTGTCACACTCAGACCCACTCGCACTCAGACTTACTCAAGCTTACGCAGACTCAGACTAGCTCGTACTCCGACTCTCATACCTAGACCCAACCACACTCAAACTCAATCATTCCTGGGCTCACTCACGCTCAGACCATTCACGCCCAGATCCACTCAGCGGGCGACCGCGCCGCCCCCCCGCGGGCTCAGCGCCTCCCTGCGGCGGCGGCCGCTTGAGCGAGCTGCCCACGGCCTGCGCCGCGGCGACCAGCGGCAGCGACGGCCGCGCCGCGGCGGGCAGCGCCAGTTGGCCGCCGGCAATGTTGAGCAGCGCCCGCCGGGCGGCGCCGCGGACGTCCTCGTGGCCGTCGGCCAGCAGCGCCTCCAGTGCCCCCGCGTGGGCGGCGGCGCTGGCCCCGAGGCGGCCGAGGGCCGAGGCGGCCCGTGCCCGCACGTACCTGTCGCCGCTGCCGAGCAGCGCGGCGGGCCCCCCCGCGGCGCCGGCGCCGAGCCTGCCGAGGGCCTGCACCGCGCGCGCACACACGTGCGGGCACGGGTCCGCCAGCGCCGCGGCCACCGCCTCGGCGCCCGCAGCGCCCGAGGCCGCGGGGCCGAGCCGCCCGAGCGCCTCCACCGCCTGCAGCCGCGCCTGCGGCGCCCCCGCGCGGGCCGCGCGCGCCAGCGCGGGAGCGCTCGGGGCCGCGGCAGTGCCCAGCTGCGCCAAGGCCCTGGCGGCGGCGCAGCAGACGAGCGCGTTGGCGTCCTGCAAGCGCTCCGCGAGCTCCGCCGCCGCCAGCTCGTCCGGCATCTGGGCCGGCCGCGGCGACGGCGGCAGGCCGCGCTGAAGGCGCGACAGGAGCGCCGCGAGCGCGGCGGCGGCGTCCTTCTCCAGCCGCTCCAGCGCGTCGCTGAGCTGCCGCCGCTTGCGCGGCTCCGTCCACAGCCCGCTGTCTGACTGCAGCGCCTGCGCCGCGGCGGCTACGCGCTGCCTCGCCGCACGCCAGCGCCGTACGGCGGAGGTGGCGCCCGCCAGGCCGCAGGAGCCCGCTGGGCTGCAAGCCGCGCTGAACGCCGCCGCCGCGTGCACGGGGAGCAGGGCCGCTACGCGGAGGCCAACGCCCGGGGGCAGCCGCCAGAGCATCGCGCGCGCACTGGGGGGGCGCGGAGGGAAGGAAGGAAGGGGCCTTGATCTAGAATGGCTGCGGAATTTGGGTACGCCTGAGTGAGTCTGGCGCAGTATGGGTAAGCTGCACTCTTGGCGCAGTCTGCGTAAGCTTGAGAGAGTCTGAGTACGCTTAGCCTGAGTGGTATGCAGTGGGCACATGCAATCAAAAATCCGACGACCCCTTGGGGTTCAT